AGTTAATTATTTGAGGGTAGTCTATTTTTTTATAAAAGATCGTATGAAACCAACTGTGATACGCCGTCTTATCTTTAAGAATCTGTAATAAGGTAGTTTCCAACTAGTCAATTTCAATACTTTTATCTAAATGTCGAAAATTATACTTTTCTGTTTGTATTATGAAACGCCAAATTATGACGTCATACTATTTTTGAGTCACATCTCACTTATAGCATAGCTTAGGTACTTATTTTTTTTTAATTAGCTAAAAAGTACTGAACATTTTTATTGTATCGATAGATCGATGAATATAGAATAGTTTTTTTTCAATATTTTATTATATTGAAACGTTGAATTAATTTATTTTTTACCTAGAAAACTACCCAAATCTAGAAAAAAAAATTCAAAAAAAAACGCCGTTAATTAACTTTTTGATCGACTGTCAATTAACACTGCTCGAATTTAACCAGAGACACAAATTAATCGTAAACCGCTCCTCGAAGGCAAGCATCACCCTCATCAGCCTATTAGTGCCTTTTTTTTACGATGTTTTCTCTTTCATCGTTTCTCTGTAGTGTCTAAATAATCTTAGAAAGTACACACTGTAACTGTTACTCGAAAAAAGTCATTGGTACTTGCCAGATTTCGAACTAACGTGGACCTCCATACAGGGATATGCTCAGCCGGGGTAAGCGCAATGAGGCACCACGACCTCGGCCCAGAGCAGGAGAAGGAACTGGGGGGATTTTAGTCAGTTAGAGTCTGACACTCCCTCTCGCCTTAGCCTGGACGGGAGAAGTCATTTGATGGGTTTCCATTGAGCAAAAAAAAAAGGGGAGCAGGATAAGGAACAGGGTGGTTTTTAGTCAATAAGAGTCTGACCCTCCCTCTTGCACCGCGCCCCACCTAAAGCGGGAGAAGTAAATTTACGTTTTTTGCCGTTAAAATAGAAACCTTCGGAAACTATCAAGATGTAAAAAATAATTAGTTTTTTATTCGTTACTTAGATTTTATCATTTCTCGTATCTATAGTATAAATTGTTTTTGTTCGGGCAATGACCTTAATTATAACTAAGGGCACTTTGATACTGATGCATAAAAAGTTATATTAAAAAGTAAAAAAAACTATAGGTACATACCTACCTGCAGATACATCAATAATTACTATCAACCTACGTGTATTTAATAAGGAAAACAAAATAGAATTATAGATCTATGTTTCAAACTAATTTATATCTATCTACCTTTATGTTTAAAAAAAAATGAGTATTGAAAAACACTTGAGAATATTAATCCGACTGAACTCGCGTTTAGGCTCCAGAGAGAGAAGGGGATATCTGGACAATAAAGGTCGTGTCCAAGTGTGGACTCTATGCCTTGGCACGAATGGGTCGGCTCAACCGGAGTGACACCACGGCCTCACAGAAAACCGGCGTGAAACAACTACAGCGTTGTGTTTCGCCGTGAGAGTGAGGTTACCAGTGTTTTCATAGTTGTGTGTTTTGGTCATTCTTCAATTCAGTTTAGAGTATTTTATCTTAAATATTTTTGTTTTACACATTAAAATACGAAGCAATGATTGAAATCGCCAATCCGCCTTGAGGAAGCGTGGTGATTAATGTTCAAATCTCGGCCTTTGCTCAGCAGTTGGTACTTATATAGACTGATGATGATCATGGCTCATCAATATCTATAATTTCTGCAAATAAAATGTTATGTAAATTAATTCATAATTAAATTGGTAAATACAGAATATCTAGCATAGAATTAATATTAATAACATTATTAAATATCGCTCAGAGAAGTAACTTTAAAAAAAAACAACAAATAAATAAAAAAAACTTCTTTATCGCTTAGATACATACCTAGGTAATACAGTCGGCTAAAAAGGTCAAATAAGGTTTTATATTTTTTGGATATGACTTTTAGGAAACGGTGTACATATTTTTAGCCATTTTCATCTCTAGGAAATTGTAACTATACTCGGAATTTTAATTCCATTCCAGATTTGACAATTTCAGTGTTGCAACGTTATGACACGTATTAAATAGTGACGTTGCGAAATTATTCGATGTGGAAATCGAATATTTCTGAATCGATTCCTCTCGTTTATAAATTTAATCTCGGAAACTAAGTTTATCAGGAAATAAAATATTTCTGAACCGATAATTTAGTTTTAACAATTAATTAACGATCTAAGACTTTTCTTTTGTAATAGTGTGTGAAATTAATAAAAAATGTGAGCATGAAGGAACATGACAAATAAAACAGAAATTTTATAAATTGTCGCCGTCATCGCTATCGCTATCGCTGTTACTTTCTGTAACATTTATAATGAATTGTGTCTGTGATTTTTATTGTCAATTAACGTATCTAGCTTACTCATTTTTTCCTCTATTTTGACAACATAGGATACGCATTTAGACAATTCGGTAGCCGTAATTTTTTGAATGCCTTCCTGAAACTGATTCACTGATTGTTTATCGATTTTTGTGTTCATCACTACACTGTTATATGTGGTATCATTATTTCACAAAATGACAATAGGTCATGTCAAATCAGGAATCGAATTAAAATTCTGGCTATAGTACAAAAAATACTTTAATCAATTTATATTTGGATATTTTTTATAGAAAAACGCTAAGTACATATGTATTACAACCGAGGACGAATTATCAATCTAGCTTGAAAACAAATCACATTTGTAAGTTGCGAAAGACAGTAGCGACATTAGGCAGTTTAATAAAAAAAAACGCGTCGAATTGAGAACCTCCTCCTTTTTTGAAGTCGGCTAACAATTGAATAGTTTCCTAGGTCAAAAATAAATTAATTCGATGTTTCAATACAATAAAATATTGAAAAATAACTATACAAATACTTTTATTCATCGATCTATTTTTAACTATTACTACTTATTTCAAGTAAGCTATTCGACGTAAAAATACTTTAAAAAATATCAAATTTCATAAAAGTATCGTTTTTGACATTTGAATAATATTTAGTATTGAATTTGACTAGTCCGAAACTACTTTTTTTTGTCCGGGTTTCGGTGTGATGTGTATTAAAAAATGAGCGAGTACTTGTAATTGTAAATCCACGCACAAAGCAGAATAAACTTGCAGTGTAGTAGGACGATAAAAAAAAACGGCTGAACATCTTTTTTTATAATTTACTAGCTACTCTCGCGCGGTTTCACCCGCTGCTCGGCTCTATTTAATCGTAGCGTGATGTTTTATAGCCAATAGCACTCAGGAATATTGTTGCTATCTAGCAGTGAAAGCATTTTGGAAATTTTATTTATTTTTATTTATTAAGAATATTTACATATACAACATTACAGCTTACGCCATTTAGTTGTATTGTTAATTTTATATAAATACTATTATCTAGGTACTTAAAAAAAACCAATTAGGATTAAATACAAGAAAAACAATACAAATATAAAAAACAAAATAGAAGTACTTAATACAACTGAATAACAAGATTGGTGATCATAGTAATCTTAAATCGGACCAGCGGTTCCAAAGATTACTCCCTACATACAAACTTAAAAATTTTACCTCTTTATAATATTAGTATAGATATTAAAAATGTTAATCAACAGGTGAATCCCAACTAAAAAACTAGTTAACGTCGTCGTCTAGTTTCTATTTTGAATTTAAATAACCCGTTTTTTGATGAGGTTGGTACACTTGATACCAGTTTTATGTCAATAAAATATCTTATTTGTATGTTGGTAATAATGTTATTGACCTTTCCGGACTTTGACAGTTTAGGTACCTACGTCGTGTATCTTATACTAATAGTGTAATCTTTATTTCAAATTATTAACTAAATATAATAATAGGTCTTTACCTATGAAATTGCCGTTCTGCAGTACTGGCCATTTCAAATCAAAATAGTTTTTATTAGGCTAAGGGGGGTGTGTTTTGTCAGTAAGAGTCTGACACTCCCTCCCGCCCCAACTTAGGCAAGAGTTGCTAGGTTTCAAACCCGGCACCGGCAACGGGCCACCATGACACATTATTGCATTGTAAATACGTCATAATTTTACTGTAGGCAAATTCCAGTATCCGATTCTAGGGCCAATACCATACAGATCTAGTTTTCAAACATGTCACAAACACAATCACTCAAGGGGCTTCCCAAATCACCTTTTCCCTAAGCTATTCACGTAACTTGCGCACGCGCACAACAAGGATTTTCGGTCCGTTGCGCGCAAGCAAGAGTCACAACAAAAGGTCAGCTGATTTGATATTATTATTGACTGATGACGTCACCTCGGTCACTGGAAATATGTATGAGATAATATAATTATACGAAAGTGTTTGTTTTTATCTCCGCCTATTGGGACTGGTCAGCTCCGGTGGTCTGTCTAAATATGTTGTCCTTGAGGTTCACTTCTTTTTCGTACTTTTTGTCTGAACATTAGTGTTACATTGTTCTCACATATCAGAACCGACTAAATGATGTAACCATGGAGTTTCTTGCTCGTTCTTCTCCATAGGAACGAGCAAATAGCTTCACTAGAGGACAGACGGACAGACTGACACGCTTAATTTTAAAGCTCTTTTTATATACTTTTTTCCTTTTTTGCTTGCGTGACGTTCAAAAGTGCCTACTGTGGTCTAATTGAAATAAATGATTTTTGACGTTTGACTTTTTTTTACTTTTTTGTTTCTTTCTTATCACTACGGAGAGTTTTTTTGTTTGTATGATTTTTTTATGTGATACGGTGGTAAACGGGGTGACGGATTACCTGATGGTAAGCAATCGGCGTGCCCCATGGACACCTGTAACACCAGAGGAGTTTTTATTGCGTTGCTGGTCTTTTTGAGGATTGAAGTATTAGGGAGGAAAGATTGGGCGTCCGATAACCTCACTCACACGATGTAGACAATGCTGTGGTTGTTTCACGCCGGTTTTCTTTGAAGCCATGGTACCCGTCGAGCCATTTGTGCCGAAGCTTGGCTATACCACACTTACATTTTGAATTAAATGTCACTTGTCAAGACGCCATGCCAACTCGACTTGGCGAAGCACGCCCGCCTGACCAGATCCAGACCCGAACGTTCCGCGCGCGCCTCAAAGAGCCAATAGACCACCACAGACGGGGCCGTACAGGGCTGATGTTCAGCAGGGGTTGCGGGGTAAGCGCAATAAGGTACTGCAGCCTCGGCCTAAAGCAGAGGAAGGAACGAGGGATTTTTAGTCAGTAAGAGTCTGACACTCCCTCTCGTCTCGAGAAAAGTAATTTGATGATTTTCCACTCAAAAAAAACGCGCTTCGTATATGTTCGCGACTGCACGGTTGGCGCGGTGGCTGGGCAACTGGCTGCCGCGCAACGTGTCGCGGGTTCGATTCCCGCACGGAACAACTCTTTGTGTGATCGCCAGATTGTTGTTACGGGTCTGGGTGTGATGTGTATGTGAAATTGTATGTTTGTAAACGCACCCACGACACAAGAGAAAATCCTAATGTGGGGCAACGTTTCTTTTTTTTTAATATATAGTGTTAAGCTTATGATTGCAAATCAAAAACTACATCGTAAGTATTCGTGTAAAGACCTACTCGATTAATGTTTTTATTTATAAATCGAATCACAATTTGTTACTATAATCGATTACATTCGGCACTATGTTCAACATTGATTGTTTACAAGTTATTTCTGTTTTTTTTTATCTGTGGTAAGATTTCTTTTTTTGTTTAACTGTGGGCGGTGGCGGTCGAGTCTAATATTCGGTTTTAAAAACGTGAGTGGTTTTTTTTTATATTTATAAATGTTTCTAAATTCTGGTTCGTTAGTATCGCTAAATCTCAAGAACGGCTAATCCGTTTTGGCTAATTTTAATCATGAAATTTTATTATCAAATTAAATTTAAATCAAATCAAAGTGCGTTGCCGATCTTATGGGTATTAGGGATTTGTACATTTCGGGATTGGAGCGGGGAAGGATTGCGCCTCTGGTAACCTCACTTACACGGCGAAACACAACGGTTTTATTGTTTCACGCCGGTTTTCTGTGAGGCCGTGGTAACACCCCGGTCGCGCCGACCCATTCGTGCCGAAGCAGCTGTGCTGTTACCAGAAACCAGTTTTTAAAACAATATTTTTTATACTAGGTATTTATCAACCAGCTTACGCCCGAATCTTACAGGCGTATAAAAGTAATTAATCCCAGGATTTTAAAAACAGCATCGTTTAAAGCGATAGCTTGACTAAAATACGCAAATCAAGTATAATTTATAGCCTATAGCACTCAGCAACATTGTAGCTATATATCAGTGAAAGAATTTTGGCAATCCGACCAGCTGTTCCAAAGGTTACACCCTAAATACAAACTTACAATTTTTACCTCTTTATAATATTAGTATAGATTTTTGTATTTACAAATACATTCAACAACAGATCAAGGATCATAATAAAAGAACTAGAAGCTAGTACTAGCTCGCCAGTCGCGGGGAATTCCAATTGATTTATTATTCATGATGAACATTAATTCTTATTGATAGTTAGACGGAATCCGACCGAAACGAATGACCATTGACATATCCTCGTGTCATCAACGTCAGCGTCATTATAATTTACTAGCAACTCTCGCGCGGTTTCACCTGCTGCTCGGCTCCGTTTGACCGTAGCGTGATGTTTTATAGCCTATAGCACTCAGGACATTGTAGCTATGTATAAGTGAAAGAATTTTGGCAATCCGTCCAGCGGTTTCAAAGATTACCCCCTACATACAAACTTACAAGTTTACAAACTTACAAATTTTACCTCTTTATAATATATGTATAGTTGTATAGATTACAGTAGGTACTCTAGAATTAGTATATAGAACTACTTGTTCTCCTACAGAACCTTATATGTAAAATATTTTCAAAAAATACGGTGAAGGAAAACATCGCCCAGAAGTGAGGAAACCTTTTTTTTGTAAGGGGATGATCATCAAATGACTGAGGGAGTGTCAGACTTAAAGACTCACCCCAGCCCCCAAGTTCTTTCTCCTGCTCTAAGCCATGGCCGCGGTGCCTTATTGCGCTTACCCTGCAACTTCGGCTGAACACATTCACGCGTAATAATAAATAGTAAAAAAGTAGTAAAAATACGAAAGGTTATACTTACCCTAGCTTATCTCATTTTTTACTTAAAAGATTTAACGTATTTCTAAGTAAGTAGTAGTATTGTAAAGGAGATGGGCACTTTAGCCGCGTCTTCGCTCGCGTATTCATTATTTGAAACGATCCCTCCAACCAAAACAAAACACGAGCCCTATAGGACCCCGTCTGCGGTGGTCTATTGGCTCTTTGAGGCGCGCACGGAACGCTACGCGCCGTCTGCTCGGGTCTGGTTCTGGTCGGGCGGCGAGCTACCCTTACTCGCCGTTCGCAGACCCGCGTTTACGGTGGCCGGAGATCATTTCTCGATCCCCGACGATGACGACGCCCGGAGTGTCGCCTACTGCGGCGGCTGGGGCGTGAGGAGGATAGTTACCTCACGCGCTCCGCCTCCTTTGGGAGCATCACTGCTTCGCAGAAACAGCAGACGTGTTCCCAGTTCCTCTCACTCCGCACCAAGGACTCTCGCCGCATAAAGAGGAAACCTGGACCTATAATGTCTAAATATCAGTTTGAAATCGCCAATCCGCCTTGACCAAGCATGGTGATTAATGCTAAAACATAGGCTAATAATGTTTCCAAGGCTTGTGCCGCAGGACGCTCTTCGCCAATGCGCAGATTAAGTGACCTTGAGCAGAAAAGTATTGATGAAATAAGCCTGGATACTGGGAAAGAACTCAAAGTACCTATATAATAATTCTGTGTTTCTACAAAACAAAGTATTTGTATACTTTACTACTTTACAAGGAAATATGCAGATACTTAATGCGTAGATAATTATATGTATATACACAAGTACTAAGATTCTGCTAATGAAAGAAAAAAATACCTGATACATAGATATGGTATATTATTGCATAATTATCATACTTCACTAATAGTATAAAACAAAGTCGCTTTCTCAGTCCCTATATCCCTATGTACGCTCAAATCTGTAAAACTACGCGACGGATTTTAATGCGGTTTTTTAATAGATAGAGTGATTGAAGAGGAAGGTTTATATGTTTGATAACATCCAAGCAAAGCCGGGCGGATCGCTAGAAATAATACAAACGCGAAAGTCTGCAAGCATTAAAGCCAAACCGAAACTATCGGATGTCCTATCCTATATAAAAAATATCGGTAACCGTAACCGAATAAAGTTTTGGATAATATCAGATAGAGGGCAGAGACAAATTGAGACACGCTATGCTTGAATTTTACTTTTTGAAATTTTCTAAGTTACTCCGTCTGAACATCAGCCCTATGGGGCCCCGTCTGTGGTGGACTATGAGGCACGCGCGGAACTCTACGCGCCGTACGCTCGAGTCTGGTTCTGGTCAGACGGCGAGCTACCCTTACTCGCTGTCCGCAGACCAAATAATATCCGTAGGCTGGTTTTGAACCCTAGATCACTTTGACCCAGTAGCAAGCTAGAGAAGCAGTGTTACACCACTCGACCGTCCAAATATAAGGAGAAGGAACGGGGTGGTGGTGGTTTTTACTCAGTAAGAGTCTCAATAACTTTTTTTTGTGAGGGGAAAATCATCGAATGACTTCTCACGCCCAGGGCCGGGCAGGAGGGAGTCTCAGACTCTTACTGACTAAAAACCACCCTGTTCCTTCTCCTGCTCTGTGCCGAGGTCGCGGTGCCTCATTGCGCTTACCCCGAAACCCCGGCTGAACATCAGCCCTTTAGGGCCCCATCTGTGGTGGTCTAATGGCTCTTTGAGACGCGCGCGGAACGCTACGCGCCGTACGCTCGGGGGAAGAAGTCATTTGGCTGATGCTTGTCCCTCCTAGTTTACAAAGATAAACAAAAAGCGAGTTCATATTTAATGTTTATGTTCAAAGAAACCAGTTTCTTCTTCAGTGATGGATGAGTGATGTCATAAGTAATTATTATTTTATTTTATTCGCTATGCAGTGGTCAGGACGTAATATTTATTGTTTAGTACACACATTGTTTTAACATTACTATGCCAACTATAAGATGGTTACAGAGATTTATATATATATTTACTTAAATAAGTCAAACTTATATTTGGAAACTACCAATATAACTATACTTATATTTATACCGCGTACATCGAGGGATTGGAACAGTTTGCCGGCTGCAGTCTTTCCGTCCGAATACAATTTAGGTGTCTTCAAGGCTAGAGTGAATAGGCTCTTAATAAACTAGTGCGCCTTACTATCAACGATTGCATCACTGCTTACCATCAGGTGGGATCGCAATCAAGCCCTAGTTTGTTGCAAGTAAAAAAAAAAAAACTAGCGTCTGCCAGCGACTTCGTCCGCGTGGAATAGTGATTTCTGGCAGATTTTTGGTTTTACCCACATACCTAGTTCCCGATTTTGTAGAGAATGGGAAACGACAAGTTTTCCTCCAGGGATAAAAACTATCCTGTGTCTTTTCCCGAGTTTCAAACTACTGAACGGATATTAATGAGATTTGCCATACAAATAAATTACAGTTTAAAATACCACAAACTACTACTACTTTTCACGCAGTACTGCGAGCGAAGCCGCTGACAGAAGCTAGTATTATATATAATTCTTAGAGCAATTCGTAAGTCTACATTTTCTAGGTGCAAAATCTCAAAAGAACTGCAAACTTAATTAAATTTTTTTTCTTTTTTCCAGATGTTCAAAGCACTTCCAATACTTCTCCTGATTGTGGGAGCCCATTGCCAGGGCAATGGGGATCTGGACTCTGTGCTCAACCAGATCTTTGGACCCCCACCCACCAATAACAACCCGACTCCCAAACCTCAAACTTCAACCATCGTTCCGCCCATCCAGAACAACAATGGAGGTGAGTTTCCTTTACATTACATCATATCATCAGCCTTAAGTGCTCACTGCTGAGCAAAGGCGTCTTCTCATACTCACACACTAGTTAATGTACATTCCTATGGTGATTTTCGGCTTCTCTGATTCTCGCTTTGTCCATGAGCATTGTGCCACTGCCTTTTCTGAGGTCAGTGTCTGGTCTAGAATCTTCACTCAATGAGTCTGTAGCCTCAAAGATAATGCATGCAAAGTGCTGGACGGTTACGTCCTAGGCAGATTCTATCGATCGGCTTTTGAGGCATTAGGGTCTTACAAAAGTAGAAATTTTCAGTCAAAAAAGCCTTAAATCAAGCCTCAGGTCCCGGGTCTTCGCTCTTGTTACTACCCCTTTTTTTACACGAGGGATCGCACAAGTCGACTGATGAACTACATATTTACCCTTGACACAGACCAGGCAACAGTTTGACATGATTATAAATAGACCTTTAATGGGGTTAAGAAAAACGGAGCCAATATATTCCACAGTGAGTAAGGTCCTCTCACCGTCTTCCCCAAAAGACCAGTAAAGCATTTTGATAAATCCTCTGATCTTGCCACTTATGCAATGCCATGGACGATTACAATCATAGTGATCTGCATGTTTATTTGCTTCCGAATCCCATGAAAAATATTATTCAACTAGCTACTGGTGGACGGTTTCATCCTATTGGTCGTAGGATGATGTCTTATAGCGTATGGCAATCAGGAACACTGTAGCTATCAATGAAAGAATTTTGGAATTGCGACCAAAACGGTTCCCCCCTACACCCCCTTCGTTCTTCTCCACTGTCTTCTGAATAATACCCCAGACAGAGTGATCGTGGTCCGGAGTCATCCAGTTTTATTCTTCAATTACAAAATGCACAGGTCCAAGATTTATGTCCAAAACTTGATTTAAAAACTCGTACCGTGTCTAGGCTTCTAAACATGCAATATAGTTATGAAGTAGGGTACTTATAACTTGAGATTTTTTCGTTCACAGCCGAAGAAGACCTGTCCTGCAAATTGCCTGATGGACAGGAAGGGGAGTGTGTCAGTTACTACCTGTGTAACGTAAACAATAATACGGTCATCACTGATGGTGTCGGCGTCATTGATATTCGGTGAGTAGAAGCTCATAATCGTCATCATCATTATCAGCAGCCATTGAAATTCCATTCCTGAACTGTTGGGATTTCTCTTCTTGAGAGTGGTTTCCTATAGTCTCCATGCTGGACTTTTTGTGGTGGTGAAAATCATCCAATGATTTCTGGCCGCCGTGGATGGGGAGAAAGGGAGTGTCAGTCTCTTACTGACTGAAAACCACGCTGGTCCATCTTCTCCGAGCTAGAGAAATGTGGATCAAGAAGAATTTGTTCAGGCCTCGGGGGGGTTGACCAAAATACTTAGAAGCATTTGAAAGGTACCTAGGGCTTGGCTTTTGAGAAGAAAGACCAGGGCCTCGAGTCTGCTATTACAATAGTGTCAGGATAGTAGATCATTGGTTGCAAAATTGTTGATTTTGACAAGTTTGGTAATCTACTAACACGATAGCTTCATTATGAGTTTCAAATCAACCAATGCCACTCCATTGAAATAATTCTTTAGAACTTTCTTAATATTTCTCGTACATAACCAATGAATATTTGACATAATGCGGTAAATTAATAAAAAAATGACAGTTCATGTTATTGTTTATAATTCGTTACAAGACATCTCGCACTATATAATTCTATTACGACATCGCCAAACGATTAGCCATTTTGAATTAACAGATTACGAACTTTCAGCAAAATGACAATGGAATCGTGTAGGAATGACAACACTTTGAAAAAAGTAGACTTGGGCCCCAGAGGGGCTACCATAACGTGTTGAAGCGTGAATCTTCTTTAACACGTAATGGTAGACCAAGGGATAGATGGAGCTATAATTATAGTTCCATCCCCCTTTCTCACCCGAAAGACTCACTCTAACACGCCATGGTAGGCCTACTGGGATTATGGAATTTTCGCCTAATCAAAAATATAAATACCACCTATATATATAACTCCCTTTTTTTGAGGTGGGAACAATCATTACCTTGCTTCTTCAGTCCTAGGTGGGGCTAGAATGAGTGTCAGTAGACTGAAAACCGCCTCGTTTCTGCTCCTGCTCTGAGCAAGAGCCACATTATTGCCTTTAGCCCGGTTGTATCTATACCCACAGTTCATGGCTATGCCTTTATGGTGTACTAAAGATACCTATCCAGCTACATGACTCAGCGAAATGCTATAGTTTTCAAGTTACTAATACAATTACTTCTCTCTAGTGTGCGCGATGGTCCTTGTGCGTCCTACATCGACACCTGCTGTTTGGTCCCCGACAAGAGACCCCCAGACCAGCCCGTGAAGCCTCAGCCCAAACCCGACCAGCCCCAGGTAAGAAAGTAAATATATTTCTTGATAGGTCGACGAACGATCAGACGGCCTGACGGTAAGCAATCAGCGCCGCAAATTGACTCCCGCAACAATGGCTGCGTTACGAGTGCGTCGCCGACCTTTTGGAGTTAGGGATTTGGAGATTTAGGGATTAGGAAAGGAGAAGGATTGGGCTTCAGGTAACGTGAGGTTACATGACGAAATACAACGCTTTGGTTCTTTTACGCCGGTTTTCTAAGAGGCCGTCGTATCACTCCTGTCGAGCCGATCCATTCGTACTGAAGCATGGCTCTCTCACTCTTTAGCGTTTATTTTGTTTCTGTTTTCCTTACCCACAGAATAATAACGGGAACCTTGTTATTTAGACTCCACTATCCGTTCGTCCACATATCTGTCTGTCCGTCACCAGGTGGTGACTTCATTAATCGGGATAGCTAGATAGTAAAAATAGTGAATAAGTACAATACAAGACGTGTAAGAGAAAATAAGTTAGTCCGTCCACCCAGGAAAAACTATTACGGGTCAAGAACCAACAAGTTTTTGATCCCCATGTTGTACAACAATAATGACTGGTTGAGGCAAATTGACACCAAACTAAGCAGACATTCTCTCAAAAAGAAATTGCTACAAATGTTAAATACTGAGTTCTCCAAAAATGTTAGCTAATGCACGTAGGTAACCTTTTCGTTCTTTGAGTTTAAGTTAATTACTATTTTGTTTTTTTTTATTTTATTTTAAGTCCCGGTTTGTTCCGAATTTTTTAATACTTTATACAGGGTGTAAAAAGACACTTAACGAAGCCGTTAACTACGCATACTGCAGTTCTAACTAAGTAGCTTTACGCTAAAATTATCACTGGGCAACGACTTTTATTTTTAGGTATCAAAAAAAAGAATAATTTTATTGCGCGCAATGTAAAGCAAACGGGCTTCGTGCCATTGTATGCTTAGGTTCACAGTTTAGCATTAAAATGCTGTGATAAGTACGTAATTCTGTAAAATAAAAATCCTACTGAGATACACGATGTTTTTTGTGCGGGTCTGCATTTATTTATTACGTACATTACTGTTCGTAACTTCAAATGCGTAATTTATTTAGAAAAATCGAAAATTCAGGTAATATTTGTTTGGAAAAAAGTTTTGTAATAATACCTAGAATTCGATTGCGCAAAAAAGTAAAAAATAAAAATGCATCTTTGACCTTCAATATCTCGAGAACCCGTGGAGAGAAAAAAATGCACCAAATAATGGGTAGAATACGTGGCTTTCGGCTTCGTTAAGTGTCTTTTTACACCCTGTATGATGTATGTACCTAATTACGAGAGCTATTCCCGTCGTCAAACTGTCTTAACAGTTTGGTGGATTTATATATTGTAAACTTTTTGCTTACATTAATAAAGGATTTAACTATTATTATAAAAAAAAAGTTATTATTTGGAAAGAATGTATTTTTAACAATTAGTTTTTTTCATTTATTTTTTTTTATTTATACTTCATGCACAGTTTGTACCTACATAAGGCGGACTTAATGCATTGAGCATTCTCTACCAGTCGACCTTTGGGTGATGCAGAGAATCCAGTAGTAGATGCAAGAAGCAAGCGAAATAGAATAGTATAACATTGGTATATATAAACATATATATAAAGTACATAGAACTATACTTATATACTTACATATATTTATAAAACACATACTACTTAATGTACTTACACATATAAATACATACATACATATACATAAATGTAGTCGTGATCACGATGACTCCCCAACCCTCCTCAGAAAAAGCTCCCGAACTCTGCTTGAATATCAGCCGACTAGTTACTTCGCAGATCGTAGCATTTACCTACCTATTATCGACCTTATTATCATAACCGAATACGATACAAAATAACTTTGCATTACCTTTCAAGTTAACTAATGTTTTTATTTTTATTTTTTTGTAGCATACGTACGAACATTATTTATGTACAACAAAAGACTTTTTTTCTGTTTTAAGAACGTTTTTATATCTGGCGCCATTTTGTAAGCAAATACAAAAACATGACGGTAAGCAATCAACACCGCCCATGGACACTCGCAATACCAAAGGAGTTACTACAAGTGCGTTGCCGAACCTCTTGTGGGTTATTAGAGATTTGAGGATTGGGGATGGGGGGAAGGATTGGAGATGGGGGAAGGATTGGAGATGGGGGGTTAAGGATTGGGCCTCCGGTAACCTCACTCACACGGCGAAACAAAACACTGTGGTTCTTTCATGCCGGTTTTCTGTAAGGCCGTGGCATCACTCCGGTCGAGTCGATCCATTTGCTCCCCAACTTTATTTCAATAAAATATTTATCAGCTTTTAACCTTCTACAGTTGTTTGTATGTATATATTTAATTTCGCACATCTGACCTCATTGAAACGAAAAACTGGTTTCTCAAATCAATTTGCAAACAAAAAGAAATCGATCTCATCCTTCTCAACTCAATGTTACCTTCTTATTACGAAATGAAAAAAAAAAAACATTTTGTGTACTTTATACTTTATTTGCGGGCATGAAGTTATCGAGTGTTCATTTATTTTAAATAAGTATTACGAAATCCAAACTTCCAAACTGAATATTATAAATGCAAAAGTAACTCTGTCTGTCTGTCTTTTCTTCACACCTAAAGTACGGAACCGTTTTGTTTGAAATTCGGTACAGACATAGTTTGGAACTTGAGTAAGAACATAGGGCAGTTTTTATTTCAAAAATTAAAATTGAAAGCGAACGAAGTCGCGTGCAAACGCAAGTAATTTATGTATGTACTTTTTGCTTTGTCCTTAAAATGCGTTTTTGATCAAACAATTCAATATCCGAAACCCTTATCCCCAAAATGAGCGGCTCGCGGGTGTCAATGGGCGGCGCCGATTGCTTACCATCAGATAATCCGTCTACTCGAAGCGAAGTCGGGGCGTCTCGCTATTTTAGTTTAGGAATAAACTAATTTTGAAATGTCGCCACATGCCTTCAGATACCTCCGTTATCATCATCATCATCATCATCACGTGTTCTCTACCCTAGAACACGTCTTTTCCAACGGTTATCGGTTCTTCAACCAATATGACCTGCCCACAGCCGCTTCAGTTTGCTTATCCTTTGACCTATTTATGTCGACAACTTTAGTCTGGTCATATTATTATTTGCAAATGTTTTCCAATTCAAAATTACCTTAAAGGAAATTAACCTTAAACATCTTAACTTCTATACTCTTCATCTTATCAGACACAACGTTCACTGCTGAACATGCAACGACAATGACCTCCAAATTGATCCAACGACTTCTAGTTCTTGTAGTTCTGATGCATCCAACAGCTCCCTGGCTCGTGCCTGATATTCACACATCATCATAATCCCATATAGTGCCCACTGCTGAACAAAGGCCTCTTCTCTCACAGAGAAAGTTTGAGCATTAGGTACTCACCCTTGATTTTTGATTTCAAACTAATAGTGTGATATAAGTTTCCGGTCGATGTCTTCCTTCGCCATATGCCAGTGGTATCTAAAAGCATATAAATTAGAAAAAGTCACAAACTTACTTGGCAGCTAGGTTTCAAACCAGCACCCTCAAACATTGAGAACCCCCGGCCTTAACCTCCGGGCCACCACAACCTGATATCGTTGTGGAAATGTCGAAAATAATACTGGCTCGTTCTCGGCTTCGTTCGAAAATAATCGAATGACTTCTCTTTCCGCTCTATTAGCGGAGAGAGGGAGTGTCAGACTCTTACTGACTAAAAAACACCCCGTACTTTCTGCTGGTCTAAGCCGAGGCCAAGGTACCTCAATGCGCTTGCGCACGCAACCCAAGAAAATTGAAATAAGTATATCAATTTCATTACTCATAGGTACCTCAAGGTATTGAGGAAAACGGTAAAGTACCTATTGTACTGACCCAATTAACTTTAATTACTTATTTACTTGCTTAGGTACATTTTGTATAGTAAATAAATAACAAGTCTCGTCATAATTCTTGTTAAATGAACTATTTACTAAGAATTATTTATTTACTAAGTCCAAAAACAAAATATAAAGCTTTTAGGAAATTAAGGATGTTTTTTTTATGTGACAGGGCTTCAAACGAACATTTATTTTTTGTCAGGAAAAATCATCAAATGACTTCTCCCGCCCAGGGTAAGGCGAGAGAGTGTCAGACTATTACTGACTAAAAACTCCCCCGTTCCTTCCCCTGCTCTGGGCGGAAGCCGCGGTGACGCTTAACCTGCAACCGGCGTCCAGAGTAGTTACGAGTACGTTGCTAGCTTTTTGCCCCTTTTAGGGATTAGGGTTTTGGAGATCGGATCGGACGGGTTGAGGAGCGATGGGGGATGGGAAGGATTAGGTCTACGGCAATCTCACTCGCACGGCGTAACACAACGCTGTGGTTATTTCACGCTGATTTTCTGTGAGGCCGAGATCTGATCCATTTGTACCGGAGCTTGATTCTCCCACACTTAAAACTACACTTATATTGTCATCATCATCATCAGCCTATAAGTGCCCACTGCTGAGCAAAGGCCTCTTCTCACTCGCAGAAGGTTTAAGCATTTATCATCGCGCTTGCTCAAGACGGATTGGCGATATCAAATTTATAGTAAGAAATTATAAGTCCAGGTTTCCTTGCGATGTTTTTCCTTCGCCGTATGCGAGTGGTGTCTAAATAATCATAGAAAGTACATACCTATAACTCGGAAAAAGTCACATTGGTACTTGCCAGGACGTAGAATGTAGAACTCGAAAAAAGTCACATTCAGGCACTACATTGTCTTGTCCATTTCGTATTATTAAAAATATCATCAGATTCATTATATTTTTGCAGCGTGAAGGATGCGGTTGGGCGAACCCTGATGGAGCTGATCTCCGTACCACTGGAGAAATAAACGGAGAGACGAAGTTCGGAGAGTTCCCATGGATGGTGGCTATTCTGAAGTAAGTTTGAAACAATGAAACAATAAATTATTTTTGCTAATCGGCCATAAAACAGCACTTTTACACGTCAAAATTATATGTAAAATAACTAAATGAAGCCGCTATTTCCTATCTGACTACTCTGAGAAGAAATGCCGAAACAAACTCAGAGGTCCGTCTCTTTTAGAGTGCAGACAGTCTACATATTTTTTTTTTTTGAAGGCAAATCCTTTGCTAACGGAGGTCACCGGTGACCCCCATGGCGTTTAACGTGTTAAAAATACTTTAATCTTTCCAGAATCGAGCCAGTTAACGAAAATGAACCTGAAGGTCAGAAACTGAATGTGTACGTTGGTGGTGGATCCTTGATCCATCCCAGCGTAGTCCTCACAGCAGCCCATTACGTGGCCAGCGCCAAGGCTTTGAGGATACGAGCTGGTGAATGGGATACGCAAAGCACGAAGGAAATCTATCCGTTCCAAGATAGAGATGTGGCCTCTGTCGTTACTCATAAGGATTTCAATAAAGGTAAGAATTACAATAGCAAAGTTTCATTTAAAAAAAATCTTTGCTCCACACTTGGATTTTCTCCTGTGTCGTGGGTTTTTTTATGGAATAGGTGGCAAACGAGCAGACGGATCACCTGATGGTAAGCGATCGGCGCCGCCCATGGACATCTGCAACACCAGAGGAGTCACAGGTGCGTTGCCGGCCTTTAAACTGCCGGGTGCGGTTACAAACATACAATTACACATACACATGACACCCAGACCCGGAACAACAATTTGTGGATCACACAAGGAGTTGTTCCGTGCGGGAATCGAACTCGCGACACGTCGCGCGGCAGCCAGTTGCCCAGCCACCGCGCCAACCGTGCAGTCATCATATTTGCGTGAGGTTTTTAAGGTGTAGAATATGGATTTATTGAGGATAACTTTTTTTATGTGATAGGTCGACAAACGAGCCTTTTGATTACCTGATGGTAAGCAATCTACGCTGCCTCTGCAAAAACAGACGAGTTTCAAGTGCATTGTCGGCAATATGGGGATAAGGGGGATTCAAGAAATGAGGAGGGATGGGCGGAGGCAAAGGATTGCCTTTCACACACCGCTGTAGTTGTTCCACGCCGGTTTTCTAGCTCGTTCTACAAATCATGCCTTTAACTTTATTTCATGGAATAGCTTGGCAAACGAGCAGACGGATTAAATACCTGATGGTAAGCAATCAGCGCCGCCCATGGACACTCGCAACACCAAAGGAATTATGAGTGCGTTGCCGGCCTTCTATGGATAAGGATTTCGGATATTTAAGGATTGGGAAGGGATGCAGAGAGGGTAAGGATTGGGCGTCCGGTAACCTCACTCACGCGGCGAAACACAACGCTGTGGTTGTTTCACGCAGGTTTTGCTGTGAGGCCGTGGTATCACTCCGGTCGAGTCGACCCATTTGTGACGAAGCAATATGGCTCTAATTTTACTTGCAGCGAATAATATCATTAACTAGCTACTTTCGCGCAGTTTTACTTGTAAGCATGATGTTTCATAGCCTATAGCTTTACTCCATCCACTATGCAACACAAAAACAATTGTTCAATTCGAACCAGCAGTTCCTGAGATTAAAGCGTTCAAACGCACAAATTGTTTATGTAATAGGTCGGCAAACGAGCAGACGGGTTACCTGATGGTAAGCAATCAGCGCCGCCCATGGGCAACGCCCGCAACCGAGGACCTTTTAGGGATTAAAGAGGGATTGAGGGAGGGGAAGGATTGGGCCTCCGGTAACCTCACTCACAAGGCGAAACAACGCTGTGGTTGTTTTACGCCGTTTTTCTGTGAGGCCGTGGTATGACTCCGGTCGTACCGACCCATTCGTGCCGAAGCATGGCTCTCCCACAAAATATGACATCATACAACTATTATATATTTATAATATAACATCATTATATCATCAATTTTTTACAGGAAATCTCTTCTACGATATCGCGGTTCTGTTCCTGGCTCAGCCGGTGGACTTGGCTCCTAACGTGGGAGTGGTATGCCTGCCACCCCCCAAAACACGCCAAGACGATGGCACACGCTGCTTCGCTACTGGATGGGGTAAAGATAAATTCGGAAAAGAAGGCCGGTACCAAGTTATATTGAAGAAGGTGAGTCACCAATGAAAAATTCTGTTTTAGAATCCATTTTGAACTGATTCTTCAGATCAAAGTCTTGGCTGAAACAAATACTTTTAGAATATACTAGTTGTTTTTTTATCGAAGTATCTATGCGAATGTTATAAAGAAGAAAAGTATCAATTTATAGCCTATAGCACTCAGCAACATTGTAGCTATCTATCAGTGAAAGAATTTTGGCAATCCGACCAGCGGTTCCAAAGATTACCCCCTACATACAAACTTACAAATTTTATCTCTTTATAATATAACATAGTAAAGATGGCAAAACGTCGCTTGCAGGGTCATCTAATATAATATATTGAGTGGCGCCCTGCCCTACAAATCTGCCCGGCACATGGCGCTGATTGCTTGAAAAAGCATGTGGTCTCAGAAATGGCCCTAACGATTTCGATAAAATTTTATATGTGGGTGATTTTGAGGACGAGAAATTGACCTAGCTCAGTCTTATGTCTGGGGAAGCGCATGTTTTCAAGGTCTTTCATAATATGGTCATACTTTTTTTAATACTATAATCGTTAGAAATATCGTAAGCAGGAAAATATCTGTCGCGTCCGCTGGTATTTATCATAGATGGCAAAACATCGCTTACAGAATCAGCTAGTAAAATATATACTCTTAATTCCAGATCGAATTACCGGTAGTTAAACACGATAGGTGTCAGGCAGCTCTTAGGAAGACGCGTCTAGGAAGATTCTTCCAGCTTCACAGTTCATTCATGTGCGCTGGTGGAGAGCCAGGGAAGGATACCTGCAAAGGAGACGGTGGATCGCCTCTGTCCTGTCCAATTGAAGTAAGTTTAAATCCAATATACTTTTCAGCTTTACACTAGGATTTTCTCCTGTGTTGTGAGTGCGTGTATTAACATACAATTTCACATTCACTCCAATAGACCACCACAGACAGGGCCCTATAGAGCTGATGTTCAGCTGAGGTTGCTGGGTAAGCGCAATGTGGGGCCGCGGCTTCGGCCCAGAGCAGGAGAAGGAACCGGGGGTTTTTTTAGTCAGTAAGAGTCTGATACTCTCTCTCTCTCTCTCTCTCTCTCTCTCTCTCTCCTCTCTCTCTCTCTCTCTCTCTCTCTCTCTCTCTCTCTCTCTCTCTCTCTCTCTCTCTCCCTCTCTCTCTCCTCTCTCTCTCTCTCTCTCTCTCTCTCTCTCTCTCTCTCTCTCTCTCTCTCTCGCCTTACCCTGGGCGGGAGAAGCCATTTGATGATTTTCCTCTGACAAAAAAACGACACCCAGACCTAGAACAAAAATTTCTGGATCACACAAAGTGCTGTTCGGTGCAGGAATCCAACAGTTGCCAACCGTGCAGTCAAACTTAAGTGGGAGATCAAAAGGGGCAAGTTTCGACCGCAGTGAGACCAAGGCACGGGACTCACAGGGACTCACTCACGGGTCTCGAGGCCCATAAAAGTCCACAATAATTCTTTAGCTCCTCTGGGGTTGAGTGTCCGTATGCGATATATTGAATACCCAAGCTTACGGTGCTTAGCGTTCTGCAGTACACCACCACAGATGAGGCCAAATAGGGCTTTAGTTCAGCCAAAGTTGCCGGTTAAGCCCAAAAAGGTACCGCTGGAGCAGGAGAATGATTGGGATGGTTTTTAGTCAACCGGAAAGTACATAATACTTACTAACTTTATTTAGAGACCACTGACATACGGTGAAGGAAAACATCGTAGGAACCTTTTTTTTTTTGGTCAGAGGAAAATCATCAAATGACTTCTCCCGCCCAGGGTAAGGCGAGAGAGAGTGTCAGACTCTTACTGACTAAAAACTCCCCCGTTCCTTCTCCTGCTCTGGGCCGAGGTCGCGGTGCCTCATTGCGCTTACCCAGCAACCCCGGCTATCGTTAGGAAACCTGAACTTATAATTTCTCTTTGTAAGTTTCATATCGTCTTGAGCAAGCGTGGTGATTAATGCTCAAACCTTCTCCGTGTGAGAAGAGGCCTTTGCTCAGCAGTGGGCACTTATATGTAGGCTGATGAAGATAATAATGATGTATATTAAATTAAACTTCTATTTGTTTCAGTACGAAAAGGACCGTTACGTTCAAAGCGGTATAGTAGCCTGGGGTATTGGATGCGGTGAAGATGGAACTCCTGGAGTCTACGTAGACGTCTCCGTCCTGAGAGAATGGATTGACGATAAGGTCGTTGGCAAAGGATTTGACCCGAAAACATACTCTTATTAAGCACAATCGACCGTTGTGAGGACTCAAAATGGCGGATTTTTGACAGTTGAAAAGAAAAAAGACTGTTCTTTGGCATATGGGTTTTTTGCTATCAAGTTTTATGTGTGAAAATCGGGTTCTTTGCTGGGGAATCCGAGAGATAGGGAGCTATATTTTCACACAGTTTCCTAAGTTTTAAATGTAATCTGTCTACGGTTATAATGGATTCTCAAATACTCGTTTTGAATTTCATAGATCTTTCTATTTTATAACCTAAAATGCTGAATGTACAGATTTTTTTCCAACTAAAGTCGGTTTTTTTACATTTCTGCCAAGGTTGAACCTAGAGCCGTTATTCAAAAATCCAACCGTCAAACATCCGCCATTTTGTTTCTGACTGTCAAATTAAACTCAATGTTACAAGCTCAAAATAATTTCTAAGTACCTACCTACTGACATTTTTGACAAATAAAATTATATTTTCGTAATAAAAAATAATAATAATGTGATTTTTATATCGACTCTCTCGTTTTGTTTTTTAATGAATTTTTACGTTCTAGTGTCTAAATTTAATTTTTTTATTGAACTTAAACATTAAAGTTACCTAATGAGATTTTGCCTTGTCTGCCTACTCAATGTTTTTAAGAAATAATATATTATAAGAACCATAAAGTTTTGTTTTATTACTACTCTTGCCTTGCCTTGCCCGACGAATCCAACTCGGATGGGCGGCGTACACGAAGTCTCTCTAGACTCATTGGAAATCCTACACTGCCTGATCTTCATCCTAAACAGTGTTTTGGTGGTGATGAAGTGTGAAACTGAGACGTGGTCCCTGACTTCTGGCCTTCTAGAAAGCCTCAAAGTCGTTTAGGACGCGATCAAGCGAGTTATGCTAAATCTGCAGGTTGAAGTGGCAATGGACAGGTCACGCCGGTCGGTAAGCGATCGGCGCCGCCCATGGACACCCGCAACATCAGAGTAGTCACAGGTGCCCTTTTAAAAAGGAGTATGCTCGTTTCTTGAAAGTTTGAAGGTCGTATCGGTTCGGGAATACCACAGAATAAATACCAGAAAGTTTCGCGTAAATCGCACAATTGTTGACTGCCAACCATCTATGTGACGGGGATGAAAATGTTTTCGCGTGGAACGATGGCGAAAAGAGAGATCAAACCGACCAATTCCTCAGAACACTCCCCTTGATAATTTTTTTCTTTTATGGTATCAGTCGGCAAACGAGCATACGGATTACCTGATGGTAAGCAATCGGCGCCGCCCATGGACACTCGCGACACCAGAGGAAGCAAAAGTGCGTTGGCAGCCTTTACGGAATAAGGTTGCGGATATTTAAAAATTGCGAAGGGGAGGGGAAGGGATTGGGCCTCCGGTAACCTAACTCTCGCCGTGTGAGAGCACAACGCTGAAGTTTTTGCACGCCGGTTTTCTGGGTAACTGGTCACTCCAGTCGACTGTCGAACCGACCCATTCTTGCCTCTCTCACACCTTAACTTCAAGTTACACAGTAGTTTAATTATTAGAATGAAAAGCTTTTCTTTAGGAAAAAAATGACTTGTAGAATTTTTCAATGAGTGCTTTAACTGGACTACACTCACATCTGCGCTGTTACCCTAGTGAAGGGTTATATCGACCCGGTTAGGTTCAGGGATTTGAGCTGAAAACCAACAGGTTGGGACGGATCCAAAGACTGTATTATATCAGCGCCCTGATCCTAAAACTCTGACAAAACTGCAGACAATTCTGTAATAATATAATATAAGCTGTAAACATTTATAGCCAACTAGTGGTCGCCCGCAGTTCCTCCAGCGTGGATGTCGATTTTACACTTTTTCAAAATAAACCTTCTCTGGACTTCCACAAATAATTCAAGACCAATTAACTAAATCGGTAAAGGCATTGTTGAGTTACAACATTACAACGAAAAGTGGCATTGATTTTTATAGGTATAGATTATTATTGCTGATATTTGACATAGATAAATGCAGTTTCAAAGAACAAGCAGTGCAAAGTTTATAAATAAAATATAATTAATTAGGTAAGTAAGTACCTACTGCAAGTCAGCGATTTAGTAGAATCTTCGAGCTGTAACAGGTCGAAGGACGGACTGCCGCCGTTGGGGCTGGAAAGTACTCGAGTGGCAACCACTGACCGAAAAATTTAGCGTGGGCAGGCCTCCCGCTAAGTGGGCCGACGACATCATCAGAGTCGCGGGGCGCCAATGGATGCAAGTGGCAAGTTGTCGCTCGACATGGAGGCCTTAGCTTCCTGGCTTACAGGAGTTGCAGCGGTTTTTTTTTTGTTCAAAAAAACGTTGCCCCACACTAGGATTGTCTCCTGTGTCGTGGCTGCGTTTACAACACACAAAGAGTTGTTCAGTGTGGGAATCGAACCCGCGGCTAGTTGCCCGGCAGCCAGTTGCCCAACCACCACGCCAACCGTGCAGTTTTGAGTGGTAGTAGCGGGTTTGAATCATAAAAATGTAAAAGTCATAAAAAAGTGCTAACACCTCCAGGAAACTGGAACATTTATGGCGCCACGAAGCGTCTTGTCAAACCCCTGGCTGCCTCCCTGGCCCCGCGCTCCTGGTATTAGATATCATCACTAGTTTAGGTTCTACATTCAGCAATGTAAATCGTGTATTTGGAGTGAGTATGATGGAATTGGTTCTTGTAGCACTTATTGTGGAAGAAGAAGAACTAGCTTATTCAATATTGTAGCAGCGACGGTGATTGTCGCTGACAGCCACCAAACAGTATAAAAACACTACGTTCCATTAGCAGTGTGTGGAAATACTCGCGCGACCCTTTTAAGCGATAGATATTGGTCTTTTTTAATTACCTATTTAGTTAAAGTTTAATTCATTAAACCCTACCCGAACGCCGGTAGACAACGCGAACCTATTGTTGTTCTGTTGCGTCTCAGGTTACCACGATGAAAAAGTTAGCATTATTTCACACTGGAAGTGCTAACCACGTCACTGTCTGTTTCTGACCCGGTTTTTACAGGCCATGGCCAGGCCAGGCCAGGCCACGAGTTAGGTTCGTCTTTGTCTAACCTCCAGAAAGTTGTATCCGAGGCAACCTATTAGGAATTGAATTCTGTCGGAAATAAGTAAGGATAGTAGCCATGTAGGTACTCGCTTGTATAAGTACCTACTTTATTTTGTCAAGGGAAAATCATTAAATGACTTCTCCCGCCCAAGGTCGGGCAAAGGAAAGCTTTTTGTAGGTACTTTCTCCAATAGAAGTGCATAGTTATTTTCATGTGGATTCCACACGCAAATTATATTTTATACACGGTCCTGATCGCATGCGCGGTACAAAAATCGAGGTTAAAAAGGATAAGTCCTGTGATGCAGTCATAATTTTTCCCTGACAAAAATACCTTAGGAAGGATTTTGTATGTAAGATCCTATTTCTAAAGGATTAGTTACCTACCTAATGTTAAGCCATCGACGTCGCCCATGGACACGGATGGCAACTATGGAGGAGTTACGAGTGCGTTGCCGACCTTTTCAGTATTCAGATTAGGAGAGGTGAAGGATTTGGCCTCCGGTAATACACAGGCTAAAACACAACGCTGTGTTGTTTCACGCCGGTTTTCTGTGAGGCCTTGGTATCACTCCGACCTAATCGTGCCCGGATAAGTTACAATTTCGTAATTTATATTTTCTCTTTAGGTATATCTCACGTCAACTTTTAACATAACTTACGGACAGCGCTTAATGAATGATACTTATACCTACTTACTTTGATGTCGCATTGCGCTTCTAGGTGCGCGGTTCTAGGTACATTAAATATGGTTACCGAATGTTCTAAGCCTGGGAGAGAGCGATTCCTTAACTGGTACGTATTATTGGGACTGCGATAATTTCGTACAGTACGGCCGACGTATCTTGGCGAGTCTGAAGTTAGCCGTTTGTCTGCGCAATGAATCTTTTAGGAACAAAATTGTGTACTGCGCAGCTAATCGGCTAACTTCAGACTCGCCAAGATACGTTGACGGTATTGTATTTTACCACAAGATTTTTGATATTTCAAATTATGAAGCTATAAATGACAATATAATAATTTGTTTTTGGGGTAGGCCTTTGTCCAGCAGTGGACTTCTTCCGGCTGATGAATTATTTTTAAGTAGTAACATTTTTTTTATGCTTATAGGACTTACGAATGCGTTGCCGGCCTTTTAGGGATAAGGAATTCGGATTCAGGAGTAGGAAGGGATGTGAAGTGGGATCTCAGACGGTGAAACAACGCTGTTATGGTTTCACGCCGGTTTTCTGTAAGGCCGTGGTATTACTCCCGTCGAGTCGACCCATTCGTGCCGAAGCATGGCACTCCCACAATTACTTACTATCATGTAACATACTAAAATTGGAAATAACAACTTACTCACGTGAATTAAGTGACTAAAATCTACTAGTTAGACGACGCAACGCGCACGCTAGGTACTCATGAATAAGAGTCCCGCTGTCACTTGAAACTAGTAGAGCTTTTATCTGTTAACTAGCTATTCTCGCGCAGTTTCACCCGCTGCTCAGTTCATTCAATTGTAGCGTGATGATTTGTCTATAGCACTCAGGAACATTGTAGCTATCTATCAGTGAAAGAATTTTGGCAATCCGATCATCGGTTCCAAAGATTACCCCCTACATACATCTTACAAATTATACCTCTTTATAATATTAGTATAGATTCACGTAAGTCGTTAATATTTTCAATTTTAATATAATTGTTGTTTTAAGAAAAAAATAACACACATTTAATATTTATAAGCTTTTATTAACTAACTGTATTATTATAATTACCAACAAGTTTAGGTATAGGAACACATTTGAAACAAAAACAAAATAAAACAAAAATAAAATATTGGTTTCACGATTTAATACTTCGAAACAACAGTAAAATAATTCAGAAAAACAATACTATTTACAAGTTAAAAGAATAATATGAAGATTATGCTTACAGCTAAAAAACCATGGATTACAGTTGAAAAAAAGTCCTATAAAAAAAATATTTGGTAAACTTTGCGCGGCAGAGTTGCCAGAGCAAAAAAAGTTACCCAAATGACGGGGAAAATTGTAATTGGAAATATTTGAAATATTACAAAAACTGAGGTTGAAACTCTTATAAATAGATTTTTGTTATACATAATTATATTTTATATATTATAATTATTTTACCAACTCTATGTACGGACATACAATTGGCACTACAATGGAGGGATCTCTTTTCTTTAACAACTTTTCTGAATACAAAACTACATCTGTCTTTCATAATCCTCTTTCTTTAACCATATTATACAATTTTACGTAAAACTCGGTAACAGATTTGAATGTTTTTAACTATGTAATCGTAGAAACATTTTGACGAATTAAGTCCATTATAGTGTGTTTGTTGCAGAAAACATGTCTGTCAAAGGCATCACAAAGCCTTGTAGGCGTTGTAATGTTGGTCAAAAATTAGGCCTTGACAATGTAAAT